TAGCTCAGTACTCTCTGGACAAAAGAGTACAGATAACAAACAGGTTAACCACATGAATAACCAAAGTGTAAAAGTGGGAATGCTTTGAAAAAATTGCCAAGTGCGAGTAGGAACCTTAACTGACTGTATGAACAAAGCGGACATTAACATGAGTAGGCTGGTAACTGGACTCTGCATTTCCCCACCTGGCTGCTTTTAAGACGATCTGATCTCTTAGAAGCAGGGATAGTGATCTGTACCTTGTAGCGTGCGCTTACTAGTTCAGAAATGTTGGCCCTTCTTCCTTTATTGCCAGTCAGCTGTTCCTAGCATTTAATATGATTTATGTTAATAAATGCTACATTTGCCAATGTCATACTATGCTAGACAGCATGGTAGAAAAACAGTGGTGGACAGGTAGTAGGCCAGAAGAGACATGTGAAAAAAAATGTTTAGCTGGAGAAAGATACTGATTTTTTTTTTCGATGGCTCTTCCTTTATCCTAAACAACCTCCCAAACAAAGGCAGGCAGTGGCTGGGGGGGTTAAGGAAAGGGTTGAGTGCAGTCTAAAGCATGTGGTAACTAAGCAACGGGACTTTAAACTCTGTCCTGAAAGACAACACAGAGACTCACCTCCTTTTTCTTCTAAGGAGGCAGCTCCCATTGCACCATTTTCCTAGCAAAAGAAGTTATGATCTCCAGGCAAAAGCTTCTTTCAAAGTAGGTTGTTTTCCCTTTTTTTTTTTTTAAACCATATGTATGTGTCAAGAAATTGTATGGAATGGAGTGAGGGAGCTGTCTCTTGACAGCTACTGTGTATTCCTGGAAAGAGGGAGAGGAAGGAAGAATGGAGAGTGAGTGGTCTACATCAGTCCCAAGAAGAGTTTGAACAGAGGGAGGTTATATTTATTTTTCTGTTTGTATTTCTGGAGCTAATGGCATTATTTATGTGTTTATGACACTTTAATACTCCTCTTCCAAGCTTGAGGCCAAAACTCATAGTCCTTACTCACCTGTGTAAATTCACTGAAGCCAATGGGACAATTTTTATGAGTAAAGGTTTACTATAAGGCCTAAAGGCCCAATGTAAATAGTAGATGAAAAAAAAAAATCTCCTGCATTAGATCAAATATATCTGTATACTTTACAGGAAAAGGTACTCCCTCCTCATTAGTTGCTGAGGACAGAGAGCACTTGTACTTCCTTGGTTATCATCCTCTGTAGTGTTTACTGTGGGAATGACGGCTGTCCCAGGTAGTATCTTTCTTAGCAAGAGCAGAATAAAGAGCTTCTTTAATTCTGAAACCACTCATTCTCTGAGATTTTGCTTAAAACCTAGACAAAGTAGCTAAATCAAAGTTAAAAGTGACAAAAAACAGCCAAAGAATTCACATTTGATACTGACCGCTGTGGTCTTCTTTTCATGTCCCTTGACGATTTCTTTTTTCTCACCAAGCCCCAGTTTGCTTACAGCCTGTTAGCCATAGTCTAGATGTTCTGGCTTGCATCAGCGTGTTTCACAACATCGACGTCCTTTGGAGACCAGATTTCTAAAGGATGCAACAAGTGCTTCTGCAAAGAAGCAAATTTCATCTCTCTTACTGCTGAAAGTCACCTTGAGAATCACAAACTGCCATTTGTACCCTAATATTGGAATAATACAAATGCGCTGTGGTTTGCATGAATAAACGTACACCATGAAACAGTAAGTCAGCTTTACTGCCTGCTTTGGAGCTCATTTTTTAAAATTTCTTTTAAATGACATGATCCACATGAACAAAACAATCCAATGTATAGAACTGTGCTTCAAAAAGACTATGCTAAGTAGCTATTTCATTAGACATACACAGGTACGCAGTTATGTGCATTAGGATGTGACCCAGTGAGGATCTGTCCTGAAGGCAGATCTCTGTGCCTGTGTGCAGCTGTGTCGGTAGGGGATGGAAGGCTACAGAGAGCCAGAGGTCCCCACAGTGGTATCTTTCAAATCTGTTTTTGATATTGTTATAGAGCTGTGAAAACCCTTTTTAAATAAAAGCACATTTAATGACGTAGTCACTGAGTCATACCTCCAGATGAAAGCAGTCTTCTTTCTTGGAAAACAAACTAATGGAGACATATCATCAGAAGTAATCATAGGCCGTATCTCATGAAAACACTAATCTGGAGAAATATGAACGTGAATTATCAAAAGCTGATACTTTGATTTTCAGTTTTGTAATCACCTTCATTTAATTTAGTCCACTAAAACATGAATATATTCTCATTCATATGGTGATCGTTCCTGTATTATTTGGTGCAGATTTTCAAGGCTTCACAGAGAAAATAATTGCTTAGCTTCACTTCTAGTTTAAAAAACAAACCTTGCTTTGCACAGCCTGCTGACATAATTATTTTCCTCTGGGGTGCTCCACCCTTTCTTCGTTCTAGGGAGTAATGGAACCAATGCTCACAGCTGCAGCAGTGGAGGCAGGACCTGTGTATTTTTTTGACCAGGTATTTCCTTTCATTTCCAGGATATTTTTCTTCCCTCTCCCTCCCTTCACACCTCTCCTGGTGTTGAATCAGAAATATTCATTTTGTTTTAGATGAAAACTAGAGTGAGAGAGAGGGACAAGAAGATACCAGAAGAACTGTCCTCGTATTTCAGTTTCCCTACTACAGATCTTCAACCCTTAAGTTGTACTCCCAGGTAATAGTGTTATGTCAGTAGTGGTGAGAGAGCAAGGCAGTTTCTATTAGCTAGGTTTTCAGGGTAAATTTCAAAGACACAAAAAGGACTCCAGAGTTGGATATGGCCAAGGCAGGATGGGAGAGATGGAGGAGGCACATGACCCGGAACCGTCACCGTGCCGTGCAGTGCAAACTGGGGGATACAAGTGGGAAGGTGACAGTGTCCTGTAGTTAGGCACTAATTCCTTGAGGTGTGGTACCTAATGTTTATTTCTGTTGTCAACATTTCACGAGTTTAACATGCAAATCATAAACAATTAGTTAAAGAATGCCACATAATAACCTTGTTCTACTGGTTTGCCAGGGACTGGACAACAGCACATTGCTGCATGCAGAGCTCCGCAGATTTCATGACTAATGTATTAGGAGCTCATATCCACAGCATTGCTCTGGGGTGTGACTCCTCTGGATAATTGGGTTTTAAATTCAGACGTCTTCACATTTACTTGAAACTGATGTTTTTGTGCCAAGGAGGAGGCAATGAAATAAGGATAACAGACAGAAAGTTCTCTTAATTTGACCCTCAAACTGTCGTTGGGAAATCAATACTGTTGGCCTGCTAACAATGTGTTACTATTTAAATTAGCCTTCACAAGTCACTTTATGTCTTATAATAATTTTTCCTAATGATGCTTCTTGGCTCCCAAGAAACTGCTGCAGAAATGGTTATTAGCTTTATGGCTGTCTGTGTTCAATCCCAGGCTAAAAAATAGTAAGGTGAAAAGAGCTGGAGACCACAAGGGACTGAAGTTTTTTTTACCTGTTGCTTTACATAGACTCTACATAGACTGTTGAAAGGTTGTAGAGGGAGAATAATGTAAAAGAAGGAATGAAAGATCTGATTTTTTGCATTAAAATTCACTTTTTCCTGCACTGCAGAAGCTTAGGAAGTTTGAAGATCCAGCGAAATTATGTTGGGCAAAAGTTGAGCAGCAAGGAAGAAAATTTTACTTGGAGAATAGTATTCTCAGAAATACCCAAGTAACAGAAGTCCTGGATTCTGTTTGTTTTCACTGAGGTCTATGTGCTTGAATGGCCAAGCCACTTTTTTGACAGTACTCTGGTACAGCCGTGGTGGTCTAAGAATGTAGGCAGGACCAGATTTGTAAGAAGAGGTAGTATCTTATATTAGATACTTCTGTACCAAAAAACTTGGCTAATGTTTTTCAGTTATAAAAACTGAACAAAGACACAACCTCTGCCTTCAAACCTTGTTTTGCCATCTTGCTTTTGAAATTCAGACTTTGTAAGTTCACTCCAGGCTGTTTCAGTCTATGAACACATTTCTGTGCAGTCAACTTTCAGCATGTGAGAAGTTACCATTGGAACTGGAGGGGTAACCATGTGGTTACAACTAAGCTTGTGTGTGTTTAGAAGCCTGAGGACTAAGGCTTTTTTGTAAATTGTCTTTGTGTTTTAGATTTTAAAACTCCTAAAACTCCTTAGTACATATTCCATATTTGCAACCCTCTAATTAAACCATTATAGTTCAAAATAAAGATGCTTCTCTCATAGCCGTGGAAGATCAGAGTTCATGAACTGAAAAAAAAACCCCACAAAATTGGGTATATAGAATCAGTAGCTGCTGAAAAAGACTTCTTTAGACATTCAAAGTTCCGTTACATCTAAAAACTAAAAGTCCTTTGCACATTGCATCTCAGAAAGAAAAGTCCTAGATTTATTTGATTTCCTCTTTTACTGAGGCAAGAGAAAATTCTTTTACATAGGAGAGGGGAAATCAATCAGCATGTTACATTATATCTCACTGTACTTCAGCTGGTGTAGTCCAAGGTATATGCTGTCAGTGCAGAGACTCCCTGGTTTGGCAACAGCTGTACTAAACCCCCACACCCTGCTCTGCACAGGTATTTCTGAGCTTGAGTATCTTCCCTGGCAGGAAATGTGGCTCAGTCTCAACTCCTATCCAAGGGAGCATTGCCAGCCTGCCCACATACATTGCAAGCAGCAAACCTAACACGTCTGTGCCTTGTATTTTCTTTAACTAATACTGCTCTTACTTAATGATGCAGATTTTTTTCTCCTCAGCCTGATTAAAGGCAAGAATCCCGGCTGTGCAGGGGAGCATACAGAAAGGCATGAAGATGGTTTCATAAATGATGATCCATCAAGAAAAGAAAACTACTCAGTTTTGCGTCCAATGTCTTGTCATTCCCTGTGTAAAACCACCACTGAAGACACAAAAACAAAGGTCTCCCAAATACCTTCAGTCCAACAGGCAGAGGAGGATTCACCGCTGAACATTTTAAATAAGTGTGTGGCTGCCAACATGTTGCAGGAACTGGGAGAGAAGTTGCAGCCCTTTGCTAGTTATGAGACTGGTTTCCCTCAGGGACTTGTGAATATGCTGGCCTGTAACTGGAGAGAACTCACTGAGGGGACTGATTGTAATAAATGGCACCAGAAGTCACTAGCATACGAAAGTGTGAGATCCAGGAGAAGGCAGGCCTCAGAGGAAGCTAAGAATGGTGCTCCCGGGTCCAAATGTATGCAGCATGAAATCCCTGCCATCAGAAAAGACCAATACAAGAGGAGCTTTGCTCTGTCAGCCTGTGCTACAAAGGAAAAAAGAAATGCTGAGACAGCATCAAACACACCTCTAGGAAGTAAAGGTAATGTCTTACTGAATAAGTGTGCTGTGTTGTAATGTTTGGCTCCCAAAGCAAAAAAGCACTTTCTGTTAAGAGTACGCTTTCTGTGCTGGGTAGGCTAACATGCTCTGCTTTATAGATGGATACACTGCAGTTCTCTGCAAAGCATTGTTTTAGGGCATGATGAAATAGCTTTGCAGCTGAAGCAAGAGCTACAAACACTCGGAAGAACAAAGCCAGTGAAACTGGGCAATGTTTCAAACCATTTATCAAAGCATTTTTAGTTTCCTATTTCAAGGTGATAAAGTCATAACATATTGCACCAATAAAGATCGTCCACATCCAGAGCATTTCATTCAGCAAACGTCAGTAATCCTCAATGCATACTCATAGGTATGGGACAAGCCTGGTCCGGCTTTCTGGGTGCTGCTGCAGTATCGCTTCTTCAAAAATGAAAGGAGAATATTTGTTCTTAAAAGCTGACTCAACTTTGCATGTGTATTCATAATCACTACACTCTGCTCTTCTCCTGTTTAGCTCCTGTTGTGCAAAACCATACCAGCCAGTCACCTGTCGCAATCAGCTTCTCGCTGTCATCCAAAATTTGTGAGGAAAGAGGTAAGAGTCCCAGGCTGCTCCTCTGTGAATGGCTTGTGTTTAATGAGGTGGTTGGAGTAATGCTGTACCTGAACATGCTGTCCTGGATGCCTGAGTTGGACTAAAGCATGGATTAACTGGGAATAGCTGTCAAGCAATTTTTTTTTTTTACCACAGTCCAGTTTTGAATGCCCTGTCCCTCTCTGATTATCTCTGATCATCTGCCAACAAAGTTTTATACCTGCTTTAAGTAGTAGCTGCAGATCCACTATTCTTTGCTAGCAGAATACAGACCACATCACTGCTTTGGGATATGCTTTTAAGCCTTTCCGTGATGGAAACTGTCTGACCACATGTATTTGACCTATGATAACTTTTGAAATGAATGGGAACACCAACACACCTTCATCACAAGGCATTATTATCAGTTCTGCCTAAAACGTGTGGACAAATTTGATGATCAAGAGGGAAGAACCGCTTATTCTGCAGCACTCATTGGATTTCTTTAAGAACATTGCCATGTGGGGGAAAAAAAAAAAGACGTTCGTGAGCTTTCTGTCTACCCTTGGCCATGAAGTTGGTCAGGTGCTGCCAGGACTATGCAGAACTGAAATTCCTTGGCTGGTGAAAGCTAAAAATGCTGCAGAGGTATCAAACATCCTCCCACTGAGGGCTAGCTCCACGAATAAATATATAGGCAGTGAAGGGAATGAATAATATCTCCTCCTGTTGGTTTTTGAAAATGTAGCATCCAGTTTCTTCTGGTTGTACCAAAGCAACAGCCCTCCTGAAGCTGGACGTGCTTCACCACAGAGTTGCATGCCCTTTGGGGTCACTGTGCTGTTAGGTTTGCAAGACTACTTATTCAACCTACCCTTATCCCTACCCTTTTCTTTCTCCTGGGAACTGCCGTTTGCTTGGTCTGTTGTCACAAGCTTGTTTCTCACTTGATGATGGGAATGTCCAGGAGCGGGCTGGTCACACTGTTCTGTTGTTGTAGTTCTAACCCAGCAAGTACGTGTTTCTGACTAACTTAATTTTCAATTTATTCACAGTGAAATAGGAAAATTAGGGAAACAGAGCTTCCCTGTGTTGATTTTTACAATTGTTGGGCGCATTCTCTGGCAGTCTGTATCTGTGGCCATTCTTTACCACCTCATCTGGACTTTCACCTCGAGTAATCTGCTGAGTGCTTGATAATAACCATTGCAACAGATGTTCAGATTGAAGAAAGATCACACCTTGACCATTTATCTTGGGCTTTCTTACTTTTTGAGAAAATAGAGTGAGAACAACTGAGACTCTCCAGAAGTTAAGGGACCTCTTTCTCCATACTCCCTTAGGTCTTCTTAAATCATCCACAAACTCTGCAGTGTGCACTAAGTAAAAGGTACTTAGCATAGTGCAACTACAACAACAGATGTCCTGTAGAACTGCATGCTAAAAGAACGCTGTGTTCCTGCTGCTCACAGTGATGCATGGCTTTATTTTCCAACTACTTCTCCAGACTATTGCCAAGAGTATTTGAAGACTACCACATCCAGCCTGTCTCAGCAATGATTCTGAGTGCATCTGGCTGTATCCCAACAGTGACTGTAGGTCCAGTGGGAAGTCAGAGTAGGTCCAGATAAACATTTAATCTGGATTTTATTGGAATAATCCAATTTTCTGGAGGTCCTCCCTGCTCATAGACATTGTTCTCTGATTTTCAGTTGAAGGAGCCTGAAATACACGTTCCCTCTTTCTCCCACTGTATTCTGCAAGGGAAGGAATCTGTTAAAGAAGAGAATTCCCAAAGCGTCATAACTGTATATTCATAACCTTACTTTATATTGACATGCCATAGAACAGGGCTGACATTAACCTCATTCTTATGCATTTAATTCTGAACTCTTATGTTGTTTCTCTAGGTTGGATTTTCCAGCCCTCTGACTCAAATGCTGAAGATCTGCCTTATGTGCGGGCACTGAAGAGACTACAACAAATTCAAAAACAAATGTAACAAGCTGAGGTTTTTATTTCCGTAGGCAAAGTTAGAATATATGGCAATGTTTTTATGAAGTAGAATACAAATGATGGGAGACCATTTAACCAAATTGACACACTAGTCTGGAAAGCATTACTGTTCCAAAAAGTTTGAGGGCTCAGCTTAACATTCCACTGTTCATGAAAGGGAAGCATTTACTTTTATTTTAGTTACTGGAAATGGAAGATAGAAGTTATCTCAACAGAGATATTTTCAAGGTTTAATGGTGAGACAAGATTAATATTCTCTGATTATCGTTAATCTATAGATTAACTTTCCAACAGTTGTAATAACCTGTTTGAATATCTTTTGCAACAGAAATCATGGCTAATGAAAACCACTTTGCATGTTTATAGTATACTGTGATCTCTGTAGCTTGTGGCCTTGTCAGGGCCTGAGAGAAGACTATCGTAACGTATTATCGCCAGAATCAGGCCATTAGAATTCTTCATGCTGCTTATACTTATCCCTTTTATTTTCACATTGCACAAGATGGCTTTACCTCCCTGTAGACATCTCATAGAGAATTGGTCATGTGTTTAAAATAGATGGTAGTCTCCAAATACACCAGTCATTCCTTGAGTGCCAACATTAGTGGTAAAATAGAGAGTATCAAGGGATAGCAGATGACACCTGAAATAGTTAAGTTCTACCCTGCCTGGATCAATTCTCTGTGGCGTAAGTGCTGGAATTTGTAAACCAGACTAGGTTTAAATGAAAAATCTTTGGTGATTCGTAATTATAAGCATTGATGACTTATTAAGGTTAACCTGTATAAATTTGTATCCACAGCACGGTTTATGACTTTCAGTTGGTACATATCCTGCTGTTTAACTGGTAGTTCATGTGCACTGGCAATAACTTCAAATGTATTCAGATTTAATAAAACCAGCATAGTATCTTAGGTGAAAAATGATCATTCAAAATAATGGGTTTAGCAGCTAGTGGCTGTATAAAATCTAGCAGTTATCAGTATGTAAGAATGTATACATCAACAATATAATAATGTATACATTCACCCTGGAATGGATTATTATCACTGCTTTGTTCCTTTGGGAACTGATTACCCCAAACTCCAAGAGAGATTTGATACCAGAGCAAGAACTGAAGTTTGCTTTGTTTGACCAACATATGTATGTCAGGCTCCAATAGCTGTAATTTCCAAAACCAAGCAAAAAGAAAAGCAGTAAACAAGCTTAATATTTGAGGCTCATACTGTTCTGATGATTTAAATGAGCATTGTTGTCTGCCCACCCATGAGACATATCAAGTTTTAGAACTGCCTGTTTTAGAGAGCACTCTATTTGTCTTTTTGCCTCCTACTACTTCAACATACTCCAGCCTGCAGTTGTTAACCACTGGATAAGTCACATCTAAACACTAAGAATACCAGTGCTTCTCTGTGGTGCAATTTCTGGGATCTACCCTATTACTATCGCCCAAAGCTCTGTAGTCAGGTGACTTAACCATCTGATTGAGGACAACATTTGTGCCATGAATAGGAGACTGCCTCCAAGCAAAGCATTTCCTTCCACAGGTCCTGAACATGTTTTCTTTGCAGCATTTTGTAGACCTTGTTAGCCCATCAGCTTGGAAGTAAAGTGCTGCTCCTCATATTGCAGTACTCCAGTGCTGTTATCAGATTCCTTTGACAGTGTACAGGAGTACACAGGCTTAGTGTTTTTGAATGTTTATGCTTAGCCTGGACAGCAAAAAGTTTATACTGAGTACTATTTTATGGCAGAATTTAAGCAGAAAGAAGTATTGACTTGAAGATAAAAACATTGACTTGAAGATAAAAACATTGCTTTGATTCCTGCTAGCTAATATTTTATATAATTAGCTTTCCTCAAAATCAACCAGCTTTTGTGCTTATTTTTTTCCTTTAATGATTTCATTTACCTAACACTCCTGTGATGACCTGCACATTTTTATAACTGCTTAAAAAGCAACGGATAAAAGTTCTACATACATGTGGAACAGTACACATAGAAGGTATACTTGAAGAGGATGTCAGCCAAAGGCTGGCAGGACTGAATAGCTAGAATTGGATTAATTAAGGCTAATCTGTAATTATGCCTCTCTGCTTCTCTGTTGTGATCAGTTCTGGGACTGAAATAGACACAAATGTGCTTGCCAGATAAGGAAATTTTAAAATATTTTAGTATTGTTCTTTCTCAGAAGGGTGAAGTAAACAGTAGGAACAAAAAGTAGCACAGTAGTGTATGGAATCCAGGATGGTGAAGATGAAGAAAAAAAATCAGGTGAACAGACTTTCTACAGGGATGGTTTTATTGCCCCTCACAATCAATGGATCTCTGCCCATGTGCATGAGAAGAGGATTGGTATGGTGGGTTCTAGTGCCAGCTCAACCACAGGTGACTTATGTGATCTTGTGCAACTAATTTGATCCTTCTCTATGTATGAGTAATGTGCTAGATAGTATTTATCATGGAAAGCTTGATTCATTAATGTTTATAAAGCTTCTCAGGATTTTCAGCTGTAAGAATTTAGAACAGTAAAAAATCATATTTTTAGTTGTAAAGAGGTCCCTGTGAAAGGTTATTGGTGAAACGACACAGAAATCTGCCACTTCAGGCTGATGCAGCTTGAGGAGGGAACTGGGAGACTGGCAGGTTCTTTTGCATCAAGCAGAAAGGAGAAGATCAAGAGGGGAACAAATGCTTGGGCACATTTTACCCATACTGTAGCTGAAAATATAAACTTAATGACTTGCTAAGATGCTTGTAAGTGTATAATAGCTGAGACTTTAAACCAGGAACGTTCATCTGTCACTCACAGTGGCCACGCTGGGCAGTAAGAAGTCTGTACAACCACACTTGACTGCAACTAATGGCCTGATTCCACTGGCAAAACACTGAAATGACCCTAATAAATTTAACAGCTGATGTTGAATTTAACAAATTCAGCAGGCTGTCAGCTGATCTTTCTGAAACTGTCTGAATGCCCAGCTAAAGTAGTAGCCTTGATTATTTCTACTTCAACTAAAAAATCGCAAGTCAAAATGTGTTTTTTGCTCAGGTCAAACTTCCTTCTAAGCTAATGTAAGTCTTAACTGAGGATTCTGCTTAGCAAGAACTAATCAGAGGTTTAATTTTTTTTTCTCTCTCGTGTAAACAGAAAAGAACAAGTATCCGAGCAGAAAGAAGCAGGGTTTGGTAAACCAATTATTCTCCGACATTATGGTGATCCCAGAGAAGAAAATTTCCTCAAGACATGGAAGGGTCAGACTGGCATGACTGTCACACCAGCGCTGCTGTATGGCAAACCTCAGATCCCAATGGCCAAGAAAACAGACCCCCCACAGAGAAAACTGCATTATGGGCTGAATGATGGCTCATCTTTAATTTAATATCCTTTCTGTTTACACAGCACATGTGAATGCCAGCAAGCGTGTGACAGGCTGCACATTCTGTCTGTCTGCCTGTCATGGTGGAAACCACAGAAGATACAGTGCTTCATAAATATACTTCTCACTTATATGTCATCTTTGCTCCTGGGAAGGTCACTCTTGGCCTTTACCAGCAGGAATTTCCTATTGGCCCGTGTTAGCTTAGTCAGGCAGGAGGATTTTGTACTCAGAGCTCTTCCCATCCTCCATCTCTCCCAACCCACTTGGCTCTTAAGGATATAGAGCAGGTAGAGAGTGTTAGTCCCTGTGCGCTCTGCATAGGCATGCAACAGAAGCCATGAAACTGAGAGAGCATGATCAAGTTAACTCCTTGACTCATTTTAGCTATCCTTCTGAATATCTTGCTGTTTGCCAAAGCTACTGCAATCTCCCAGGTGGGGGCTTGTGTACCAACATATTTAGCCCTTCTCCGGATCACTCTATAGTTGGAACTTTCACCCCTTTTGGACATGGCAGTATCTGTCTTCCTAGCAGGTAGGCGGATGCACTATGAGCGCTTGTTTGATGCTGCAACTTACAGCAGAGAGCAAGGATCTGAACAGTGTTCAGATAATTGGCATGAGAAAGGTAATACGTTGTGCAATAGGAGTTTCTTTCTGCAGCTCAGAGTCGTATCTTAGTTGGTGTCTGACAGCGGGTTGGTTTTATTTTGGTTGGTTGTTCTTAATCTACCCTGTTTGCTCAGAAACTTATAGTGAGGCACAGTCTTGGGTGACCAGACTTTTGCTCAAACAGACGGATAGTCCATGGAGAGTTTGGCCTGGGAGGATATTGGCATCTATCTCCATGTGTGAGAAGAGGAAAAACTCCCCTCCCAACTTGTCCGTGAGTCACCTGAAGGCAAAGGAATCTGCTGCCACTGCCTTAGGCAGAGAGTCCTTGACCTTGCATGTGTAAGAGTCAAATGCCACCTTTTGTTCAAGCAGCCCAAAAGAACTCTGCTATCTAAATTACTAAGCTAGATGGAAATCACTTTGAAAATTGAATTCCTGATTTGTGAAATCAATGTTGTGAGGACAGGATGCACTTTGGCTTACTAGAAAATTCACACATACAAAGGAGATAGATAGCAGGCAAATGGGAGCCAGCCTTCTGGCTACCTCAGGCGCACGACAGGAGTTGTGAATGGATGTTCCACACAGACAAAAACCGGATACCCTCTTCCCTCCTGCCCCCCACTTCTTAATGGCTCACAGAGCAGTGCATTATACAGGCCACAAGAAGAGCTGATCAAATGCTATTTGTTCTATGCATTGTTCAATTATCAGTATTATTTTCTAGATAACAAATAATTAGCATCACTTTATAGAGAAATTGGAGCTGCTGAACTAATTTGGAATAATTTACACACAACAAAGAAAATGGATCTTTGTGCCTGCCCACCACCAAATATTTGCAAATTGTTTAGTCCCTCCTTCTAGTCAAGCATGACTGAATGACCTCTCAAAGTCCCTTCTAACTCTATTTTCTATGTTCTACAGTCTGTTTTTAACAAGGATGGTAATTAAGAATCTGTATTAAGTATTGATTAAGTACTTGTCATGGTTTAGCGTTTTCATCTTGTGTCTGTTTCTTTCCATGGGATTCATTAATTCTTCCAGGTTTGTGTTATGCCATCTTGTTAAAACAATTGCCAGGATTTCTTTGGATGCTCATCCTTCATTACAGTTTTTTTTCTTTTGTGGTTGGGCCCTGTACCTCAAGAAGGATACATTATCTGTCACTAACAATCCATCTAAGAAAGGCTGCAGGATGAGCACTGACATTCTCAATATGCTCTGTGTTGATTTCAAATACAATAGAACAGATATCCACTTGTGGAAAGCATCCCCAGAGCTTACATGCAGATGATTTACTCTGAAGTTTTGGGCCCACCAGAGCATGTAAATTGAACGACCATTCTCTTCTGGATAAAGTTATTGTGTATTTATATCTGCCTGTAGTCTTCTGTACCTTTATATGAAGTGAACAACATTTACCGTTGAAGCCTATTGCAGCACATTCTTTTCTTACTTTTCCTCTGTCATACTCTTTTAGTGACATTGTAATACTCAAGATGTCTGGGATCAAAATTTCAGGCTCTGCAGAGAGGAACAGTGGCCAAAAGCGAGGGACACTTTAACTTGCAGTTGCTTTCAGTTTTAAAGAAATCAAATTTATTGCCCTGTATGAGTTCTTGGAAGTGGAGGAATATGCTTTACTGGGGCTGTTCAGAGATGGGTTTTTCAACCCATGTGTAAAAGGGACTTTAAAATGAGCTCAGTGCACTTGGAGTTAGTGGAAAGAGCTGGCTCTTGTTTATAAACAATGTCTAGGAGCCTAAAATATTTTAAAAAGACATTTTTAAACAATTCTTAATTAGAATAAAAAATCGAACCCTCCAAATTTACCTACACTGGCCAACTTTACATTACAGAAAAGCAAGCAAAATACATAGAACAGATAAAATGCAAGTTTTAAATTTCAG